TATAAACTTTAATTCAGTTCTGTAGACTTGCTCAACATAACACTGATAAAAAATTAAGTGACAAATCCTTGCCTTAAGTCTGCTTTCTAAATAGGCACGAATAAGGTGGTAAAGTCGTCAGGAATAAGACCAAGACGTTATTTATCACGCATTGTTATCTGAGCCTTGTCTGGAATGGCAATGAGTACGTGCAATTAAAAGGGCCTTAGGGGTACTCAGAATCTTTCAAGATCAGCTGCGGGGCTCTTAAAAGTTCTAGGTAACATACAGCCAGACATGAAAAGATCTGGTGGTCTGCGTGACTGTCTGCAGAACAAGACATATTAAATCAAATTAACACCAATATTAAAAAGAGCTTTGCCTGTACACTTTAAATACACTGAAAAATTGGTATGACTTAACAACAGCCAAACTAATGGAAACTAAAATGATGATTTGCACAAGATAAACTTTTAAAGACAGAATAACTACACTTTCATAAACAACACAGATGGCTTTCTACATATTACCATGTACCTTTTGGTACATTTTTATTCTAAGCACTTTAAATGCTGAAAAGACAATAAAGAGTTACTTATTACACAGTTCTGAGATTGTATGTTCAGGATTTTTCCCAGTTAAGCATGCACTGAAATAAAGAACTCCTTAGCTAAGCAGTTAATTTCTAGGTTATTTTCTTAGTATTATTCAGTTATACACTTAAGGATAATTACTATATTACTTACAGGACTGACAACTTCCTTATTTTCTTCTACTACTAACAAGCTAACAAACTCTGGACAATCTGCACAAGCACGACAGAAATATTATTCATCTCTAGCTCAAGGATAAAGAAAAATATTTGAATAAAAAAAGGTAAGTTTTAAAAAGAGTTATTACCCACCCCACCCCCCCCAAAAAGAAAAAATGAAACAGTAGAGTTTAGTAAGTTTTAGAGAACCATGATCTGGAATACATTCAAGGAAATCAGTTACAGTGAAACGAGCCACCGAGTTACGTACAGTCACTAACAACCACATAAGCGTATCTGAACTAAAGTAAGTTAACTAAAGAAGACTTCAGACTTAATTCTCTAACTCCCAGGGCTGGGGTTTGGCTCATTCCAGTGTGTAAGCTGACCAGTTTCTGTTCATCTGATAAAAGAGTTGAAAGGAACCCTGCCTTTTTCTTATATAGTCTCGCTCTCAGTTCAAACACTGTGTCCCTGAACAGTCATACAAAACACTCTGGGACTCCCTGGTGGTAACCCCTATATATGCAGTCTGAAGTTGTAATGAATTTACAAATAGCCCAAATTAAAAGACATTACAGTCAAAATCTATTCATAAGATTTAACTTAAAAAAAAAAAAAACTAAAACAAATTTGAATTGCATGAATATATTCTATGAAAAAGACCATGTTTCAAAACATTTATTTTATAATAACAATCCTAAGTAAGAGCCTTCATTTGGATTACTTTTTAGTTAAGCTACTACTACAGCCTTAATCACCTGAAAGAAAAAACTGTCAAGTGTGTAGAATGTCTTTTCTCAGGTAGGAATCTGAGTTATAACAGCTTAACACTAAAATGCTTTTTCAATTTTTCTTTTTAAATATTTATTTATCCTTCTCTTTTGGTTTTACAAGTTACTTGCAAAGTTTGCTTTTTAACTTGTTTCTGCATCATGAAAACTCCTGGTTTCAACACACCAACCAGATGAAGCCCTTTTTCCTTCCTTTATTTTCAAGCTAGCTGTATGCAAGCGATAACCATTCAATTAAAGAGACAGGCAATGCAAATACTACAGTACAAAACATACTCCACAACATCACAAATAGCTCTAACTTGCAATTTCTGAATGATTCTTTACGCGTCAGTTAGTATAAATATTAGAAACAAGACCAGAATATAAGGATGAGGGGTTAACCACACATCAACGCCTTGTGGGTGCTCCTCTTTGTCTGAGAGTGAAGTAAGTGAAGAGGACGTTGCTATTCAGCATAGCCAGGTCCTCAAGTAATATGGCCCCCACGCCTGAATTGCGACAGCAACTTCCAAGCTTCTTATCCAAGCTTGGATAAGCTGAAAACCTCTGTACCTTCCTTGCAAGCATCTCTGAAACTGAGCATTGGCTCAGGCCACCAGCTCTGGAGCACACAGAAGCTTCCCACACAGAAATACTAATCAAGCCAAAGGAGAAATTTCAGCTCAAGAACTACTACTGGATTTGGCAGCCTTGCTTTAATATTCCATGAGATGTTCAACACAGACTCACGCCAACAAGACCAGAAGACGGTTCAACCTTTCTTCTTGCCTACTCCTGGCAACAGTGGTTTCACTGCCCTATATCAGTACAGTCAGAATCAACCCTCTATCGGAGCCCATTTTGGTGTTGAATGTTAGGTTCCCTCCTCCACACATCAGTTGTGGCAGTTTCTTTTCCAATGCGAGAATTAATCTCAGCATCTAGAGATGCAGATGGCACCACATTCTCCACTGCAACTTCCGTAACAGTCACTGCAATTCAAGTCATTCTACCTTACATCAATGCTTAGCACAAATTTTAGATCAGAACTAACATAAATCTATTGCAAAGTTTCCAGAGCTCATCTTCGCTGCATATGAGAGAAACAGTCAGAAACTGTCAGGATAAAAAAGGCTTTAAGATGAGCAGGTGTTTGATTCTGCAACACTGAAAAGCTTTTCATTTGTGCTTCTACGGATATACATCTTCTTGACAGGTAAAAAAAGCACAAAGAAGAATACGTCGAGGAGAGTGAGTGCCAAATCACATTCTTGTAGAAAGATATATTAGGCTTTGTCTCAACATTTTGCTTGAGAGAAAACCTTGCCAACGGTTAATCTACAAGCATGGAAACCACACCAACTCTAGATATAAACACACTGCAAAAGCATTATGATAACTTGATAAGAATCCACAGATTGCGTTTCCAACAGCAGTATAACATGATATTCTGCTGCCATTTCTAATTGTAACTGAAGAACATCATTAAAAGATAAGAAATGTTCAGCTGAATCCGACCACAGATTCATCTAGCCTCTCTGAAATTAGTGTAATAAATTTTAGAGAAGCTATTTTTCCTTTTTCAAAAATCACTGGACAGGGCCCACCACTTACTAAGAGTCACTCTTCCACTTGTACGTTTTTCAGCGTTACAAAAGCAATGGCGAAACCCACCACCAAAAAGAAGTCAGAAATTCTCCCAATACTCATACTGATAACCATTGCCATTTAGTAATGAATGTGCATTTCGAGAGGTGTGCTATTCACTAAGAAACCTTCACGCCACGCAATTCATGAAAACGCTTGTATTTATCTCTTCAAATTAATATACTTTATATACTATATATAGTTTTACATTAGTACATATATATTATAAATAGTAATTATATAGTTTTTCAAGCTCATAAGACACTGGCAGAACGAGTCCCTCCACAGACTACTTACTTCTTTAAAATATAGCTCCAGTCTTAAACTAATTACTGACTAAATCCTTGAGACTTAATTGCTTATGGCAATTGCTTATGGCATTGTTAAAAAGAATTCCTCCAGAGATGGAATACTATCCTTAACATTCAAGTCCTGTGCTGCAAATTAAGCAGTCCAAATTGTTACTTTTCACATGACATGCCCTAATCCTGGAAAAACCTGTCACCAGCAGGAAACAAAACGAAATGGGTTTAAAATATTTTTCCTTTAATGTCAGCCATTTAGTGTCGCTGAAAATGCAATTACACATCCATTTATAGCTGTGTTTATCTGGATTTTACTTACTTGACCAGACCATTTCAATTCACAGCAATTTAAGCATCGGAGACGAACCGAATCCATATTTGGTTACTTAGACATTTGTTTACATGGGACAAAATTAGACAATCTTGAAAATTTATAATAAATTATTTTTCCACTATCTACAAACTACTCAAGTTTGTAAGGAAGTAGGAGAATAGTCTTTCTTTACATTTAAATGTGCGACAAACATTTTAAAACAAGTATTCTAACACTTTATAAATATTTCTATTAAGGAAGCAAAACTTTTGTGGCTACAAGCTGAGAAAAAGATGCAGTTGGCTTTGTTTTCATGTGCTTTTAAGATTAAAATACTCCATAAAGCACAAGGTAGTATTTAAGTTTTGTTCTTCTGACACAGCCTTATCAGCAGCTATGAACTTTCCTATTAACATTATATGTTTATGTTTGTGTACAAATCTATCTGGGTGTTAGATTGGCAAGACAGTCACTTTGGAAAAAATGTCATTTAAAGCAATTACTAAATTAGAGTTTTCTGTTTACTACTGAAGAGACTACAGATAAAGGAAGGGGCAATTCACTCTTCCAACTCCGCACTGTCAGTCTGGAGCGAAGGGGATGGTGTATTTGAATTATCAGTCCAAAACTCATTCTTAATCTTGCTACTGGCAGCTGCAGTAAGGTTAGTAACTAATGAAATTGCCACAATGACATTTTGCGATTTGATTCTTACCACAAAGATCAAGACTGAAGCCACAAACTCATTTCCAACAGTTTCTTTGACACTTGTCAAATAATATCAACTAATATTAATCACAATAACTTAAAACTTGCAACTTCCCATTGAAATAAATACTCTGTCTTGCCAGGGAATTCGTTTATGTTCTAGTCTCTATGTGAAAATCATTCTAATCTGAAGATACATCTGGAGATAAAGTTTAAATGAGGTGTTAAGTTTTGTGCAAGAACTTTTGTAATTCAACATATTTAACGAACGCTTTCTCATGAAATACCACCTTCAAAAGCAAGTTTAAATTACAAAATTAAAAGAATGTAGACAAAACACATTAATTATTTAGAAGCTAAACAAGTAAAACTTTGGTTTCCAGATCTCATCTAACATTGTCTTGAGCACTCAATCACATTTAAAAGGATGATTTTTAAAACAAGTTTGGGCACAATATTAAAACGCAAAAGCCAAACAAGCCTCTTAAAAAGCCCTGAGAAAGACAGGCCTCGATACTCACCCATCATTGGAACACGTCAAAAATTCTTCCTTTATTTTAGGATGCCAACAGCCTGAATTGAGCATTGCTGTATGACCCTAAGAAAATAAACACAGACATACTAATCAAACTCTACTAAGAAAAGAAAAGTTTAAAGTACCTATTTTTAGGATCATATTTTATAAACCATATTGTTATTAGCTATCAAGATATGCCTCTTGCATGAGTAAATAGAGATCTTCAATTAACAGCCCTTGAAATACATAAGTGAATATAATCAAGTAAGTTCAGGAACAGCAGATGTAAAGAAAATACTCAATGTAAAGATATACTTTAAAATAAAGCTAAATCAAATCTGTCTGAAATACTGAGCATGTTATAAAAATATATACAACAACACTTCACAAGATGAGAAAGGCTTCTCTTATTCAGCGCTTCTCCTTTGAGAATCTTAAAAGGTTTTGTAAACATTACTCCAAATCCATAAAATGGAACCATGAGTAAAAGCTGAGGGCAGAATCAAAACCTTCTCACCACAGGAATGGCTGACTGAAATCAAAATGATTTAACAGATTTTATATATCTTAATTCATTTCATCCTTGTTTATTTTCATTTTGGAATTACAGAAACCCACACATTCTTCTTTCATTTTTACTTTTTCTTTCAGAAAATGGAATGGCATCATACTGCCACACAGGGAACCGCCACTTTTCTCTAAGGAGAACCATAATTCAGAGAATGGATGAAACAATGCATGTCAGCATGGTGCCGTCAGAGCTATTCTGAGCTACACAAAAATCCTTTATCAACGATGTTACAGCACACGCCTTCAATGCCAAACTAAACTACATTAGCCTTCTTAGTGCAAACCGAGGAAAGGGAATTCTGGAGCCAAGATGGATTTAACTTAAGGTGAGTTTTTCATCAAAGATATTCAGTTGTAAATTAAGTAGTCAGCCCTATTCCTTTAGGATGGAAATATCAGAAGGTAGAGATTTTATCCAAATGTAAGAGACTGCTATTATGACGACTCAGAAGATAAAATGCCTTTGTCCAGTCGACTTTACATCTTTGAAGCACAAGCACATGCTCATCAACTACATTCAAAGAGAAATTTGGAAACTCTACCTGCAACACCTGAATTACTTCATTTTGCTTCAAGCACAAATACAGAGGGACAAATACTGAAAAGTTAATGAGGCAATATAAAAAAAAAAATTACTATTTTGACTGTAGGACCACAACACACTGAAATTCCAAAAGCTTACAAGAGAAAAAAATCTGTATTATTTTTTAAATAAACGAGAACTAAAGCAGATGTTACCATTTGATGGTTTTATACACATACATTACTAGCCAAAAGAAATAGTGATCTGACAAGAACTTTTGCTTAAGGCAGAATAGTATTTAGACTAGTTATTTGGCAATACACTTTACAAGCAATACATAAATCAACTTTATCATCCATTTGAGCAATAGATTTTATCACTACTTTTTGGGCTATTAAGCTATTTATAAAACTGACCTGATCAAAATCATATATGTAAACACAATCCTTCTCTCATAGTTTCTGGAAATAAGATGAAAAAGTGACCAAAACCTAACCAACAGCTGTACAATTTTTTCAAAATTATGGGTCGAATTATGATTTCTCCATTTGCATTTTTAACCACTAATAAAAACACGCACATTGTTGCTTATTAGTCTTGTACTCTCATGGCATGAAAGTAACCTCCCATCCTTGCCTCAATAGCAGCAAATGGGACCAGCAAGGAATGGACAACTCCTAAAGGTGAGGGTAAAATAAAGCAAGAGACTAGATCAGATCAATAGTTTCTAATTTTTGTTTTGGTTGGTTGGACAGGGGTAAGGGGACAGCTGGAAGTTTTCACTATATACACCTTTGAAGAGATGAATTTTGTCAAAGAATCATAGAAAAGTTAGTTGGAAAAGATCTCTGGAAGTCACCCAGTCCAACCTCCTGCTCAAAGCAAGATGATAGCCAACACTAGATCAGGTCAGCCACAGCTTTGTCTAGCTGAGTCTTGAAAACCTCCTACACCTTCCCTGGGTAATCCGCTCCTGTGCTGCACTATCTTCCTACTTTAAAAATTTCTACTAACGTCCAGTCTGAGGCTTTGAAGTCACAGCTTGTGGCTGTTACCTCTGCTTCTACTATCTGCCACTATGAAGAAGTGTTTCACTCCATCACCTTTTCAACTCTTCTGCAATAGCCATTGGCTATTATTAGATCTTCACATACCTCTTCACCAGATTAAAAGAGCACAAATTAGTCAACTTCTCTTCTCAACGCACAGGCTCCAGACACCTGAATACCTCGGAAGGCCTTTCCTGGACCCCTTCCAGTTTCTCCACATCCAACCGGAAACAGAGGGCCTCAAACTAGACCCTGTATTCCAGACACGACACAAACAGCACTGAGTAAAGGGAGACAGTAACTGCCTTTGATCTGCTGACCATGTGCCTCCTAACGTGGCCTAGCTTACACTTTGTTTCATATACAATGAAAGCACAGTTAGCTCACATTCAAACTGGCATCCATCCTAACCTGAGGTCCTTTCCGAGCCAATCAGTTCCCAGCACGTATCAATACATAGGGTGATTCCATCAGAGGGGCAGGGCTTTGCACTCTTCCTTACTGAACTTTTAGAGTAAAACTACACTATATGGTTTGTGTTCTTGGATTCAGTTCATTTCTTGCTTTACCTTGGTGTTTGTCATATCCACGATGTACTGGTCTCCTTTTATGCATTCCATTACTGGGAAACCATCTCTGTCAAGAACTTTCGCCTGCGAGTTACCAGAGACGACAAGAATAACATCTCCTGTGCTGCTATACTGTAAAGATTTGATTTGGTGACTGGAGAGAGGAAAAAAAAAAAAAAAGAAAAGAAAAGAAAAGAGAGAGAATATGTTTCAGTTAAATTCCATTTCTGTAAGCCAACACTAAAACAAATGTATTGACAGTTAGAAAATGTACAGTAGAAATAGATGCACATACATTCTTATACCATAAATAAGAAAAATAAAAACCTGGTATTAATGGATTGAAACTTTTTATTAGTGTGTGTCTTGCACTACTTTCTTCAACCAGAGCCTATCAAGCAATAATATATACAAAGTTGGCACCTAAAATTTCTGGTAAACGTATTTGAGAACGCTCTTGTAATTCCAAGTGAAGAATGTGTCACAGTTTCAGCTCCTCAGCATTGAAAATTCTTCTTCGTCTCCTCAAAAGCAACCTCTGTATTTATAGTAATCTATAAATTGCTGTAAAAAGATGTTGCAGTGCTAAATAAAACTCAATTTTACAATAGAAAATTAGTCATCTGTCAGCGTTCTTCCATTTTTTTCTAGGTTCAGGGCTACAGTTTCACCAAACACATAGATAAAGTAAACGTATCATCAATTCTGAAAACAGGACAGTAGATAACAATTTGCCCAGTCTTTCTATGTGTTAGATGATTGCTCATTTGCAGTAAGGGTTTACTTATGTACACAATATATGTACATTAGAAGACCCTCAGAGCAAATGAACTCTAAATGAAGAAGAGTGTGTGCTATAGATTCAGCTCTTCAGGACTGAAAATTCTTTTTCTTTTCAAAAGCAGCTTCTGTATTTATAGTAGCTTCAAAAACATTTGTAGCCTTTCTCAACTTGTTACTATCTGCCAATTGAATAAAGGTTCTCTCAATTTGGTGATCCAAGTCACGAATGAAAATATTAGTGATTAGCACTGAAAACAGGACAGTTCTGTGTCTCTTTAGTCACACAATGAATTACTAGTAAGTATTATTGTCCAAATACAGCTTTCCAACTTACTATCTTATACAAAGTGCATTTTCCCCTCCTGCCAATATGAGAGGCATGTAAGATAGTATCAAGAGCCTTAGAGAAGATAAACTATAGCAAATTCTTATTTCTTTTTTCACATCCACAAGACCTATCATGAGATCAGGTTGGATGAGAAGTTTGTTCTTAATAAATCCAAAAGATTAGACATTACAGGAAAAAAAAATTGTAAGGTCACCTGTTCAATTAAACAGAGAGTTTGTCATGCTTGGAAGAACCATGTCATTCATACCAAACCATCTGGATACAACGAAGGCAGAAGGTTTCACAAGGAAGTTGAAATAGAACAGTAAACAAATTCACCTTGCAATGGAAAGCTGTATCAGAAGCTTAATTACAAAACCATGATTTCAACCTCATAACAGAACAAGGATCAACGGACCACTATCAGTATACGACAGTTCTTGCAAATCTTATCATTAAACTTTTAATTGAAAATACTTTTGAAAATACTATACTACAATATGGGAACCATACGATTCTATTCGTGTTCATGAAAATTTCAGCACAAGTACTGACTTCTCAATTCAGAAGGAGGATCAAGAAAAAGACCTCAACAATAACAGAAGGATCACAAATACAAATACAAACTAATTCAATTGTCTGTATTAACATATGAATGTCAAAAATAAATATTTGTGCTAACTGTTGACTTTCTCAAGAAGTAGAAAAGTCAAAGACTTCCGTGTCAAAAGCAAAATTCTTCAGATGTACAAAATCTAAGTATCTTTTTAATAAAATCTGGAAACTTTACTACATAGTGCTAGCTACCGTCTGTGATTCACTATCACAATAATAACAGCAAAGCAAATAAAGAGTATTAAATAGCAACTTATGAGAAAATCATGCTACGTTATTTTTACTGCTGAAATCAATGCAAAAGCAAGCAACATAGGCCTTAAGAAATAACCGTTCAAATTACTTAAGTTTCTGGCATTAGCTTTACATTTTATCAACTACAGATTAGCTTTAAATATCAAAAAAAAAGATCATTTCTTCTTAAGGTTCATAACATGTGAAGTGCCAATCCTGTGCAATCCCAGATAAAATGTAAAGAACATAACAATATTGTTTGATTCCTAAAACAAGGTAAATTGTTGCCCCATAGGCCAGTGGCTTCCATGTTGTTGTATAGTATTTTCAAAAGCATTTTCAAATAAAATTTTACTGATAAGGTCAACAAAAACTATTGCATACTAACTGCAGTCAATCGATCAAGAAAGCTTGGGACAGAAATCATGGAGTAATACCAAGACGACAAAAAGGATTAACTAAAAATGGGGAGATGGATGATGAATCAGAGATCTGTTTCTAGTCTTAATGAGAGCTTCAACATCTCTCAACATTCTGTTTTACATACACGGCTCATTGTAAATGCTGTATCTGAAGCGGGTTTCCCTTTGCCCTTCTACCTGGCTACACCCTACCACGAGAATGGCAGAGAACGCAAGGCAGCGTATACACTCCACACCTACCAGAATTCATATTCTAACACGCTAATAGAACGTGAACAACAATGTTACTTCATATTGATACTTCAGCTGCACAGCTAACTCGCCCACAACTAAGGATCAGCATGCTGTGCACCTCTCAGTTAGCTTTGGATTCCCGTAGCATCAGACCTCTCCTCAATAAACTGAACATCTCACTAAAAAATATTGTTCAAGTGCATCAAGAAATTATATTTCTGTATCAAAGGAGTACCCTTCTTTTGATGAAAAACACAATCATGAGCATTCAAATCCTAGCAACTTTAAGGAAATTAATTTTACTGACATAAAATTTTACATTAAAAAGTAACACTCGGATGATGAACAAAAACTTTTGTGTGCGGAACTTGTAACTTCATCAATTAACATTTTATGGTTTATAGGGTAGTGACTTTATGATTGACTCAGCAGTAGCTATCATCCGTTAAATCTCTCCTCAATATGTGAATTATTGCCCAGAACACATTAAACACTGTAATACATATTTTAAAAGTTCAGCATTGACCGTAGTAATGTAAACTAAGCATAAGTTTCTCATTCAAGCAAATTTTGGCACAACTGATTGCACTATGATTCAAAAGCCAAAAATTGCTTCAAGCGCCCTATTATGTAATGTGAACTGGCAGCCTAACTGGCCAAAGTATTATACACTCTAAGTCTTAGTAGAAAGGAGACTGTCAAATCTGGGAATTTCCAAAATAGATCAGAGGCAATGTCTGAAACAGCATCATCCTGCGCCTCAAGAGCAAAAATGGATACATGCACAGGAGAGAGGAAAGAAAGCCAATGGCATTAAGCTCAAAGGCAATACCGAGGAAACTAAAATAAAAGGAAACTTGCAAGACACAGGGAACAGTATCTGAATTCTAAAATAATATCTGCAGACAACTAATAAACCTAAAGAATCCATTAGATTCAACTTAAGAGCAACAAACAGATCTTGGGAATTAAAAACCTTCTGCACAGTTATATCTCCAAGTATTTTTTCTATTCCACATAATCCATACATAGCTCAAAATATTCTGAGTCATATCTGGGTAGAATAAAGTACTTATCTAGCTGTATTTCTCCCACTGTAATGCTGTCAAAAAGAAAATACCCAACATATCTCCGAAGGACAGATTCATGTTTTTTCTTTTAATTGTTGAGGTTTAATAATTAAAAACAAAAAGATATGAAAACGACACTAAAAGATTTTTGCTTGATGCATGCCTCGTGCACAAAGAAAATTAGGCCGCCATACACAATCAAATGGACTGCCCTGGACGGGGGAGAGGGGGAAATAAAAACCTTCTTTCTGAGCATAAGGGCCCAGAGAGTCTCCTAACAAAACTGTCTTCTAGACACTAAAATAAATAAATTAAAACTATAGAGTATAATGCTGTTAACACAGCACTGATCATCATCTGACCAATACTCATTTTTTTCTAGTTTCACATCAGTCTGCCTGAACGCATTTCATCTTCATTTTAGATTTAGATGCAACTTTCTTCTAACAGGCTGAGTTTACAGCACTTAGCACAATGGGAACATGAATCTAAGAGTTATTCTATCAGTCAGGTGAAAAAATTGACCGGGGCAGGATGGGGGAAGATGGAGAGAAGATATTTCCACAACCTTTAGCTCAAGAAAAAAAAAAAAACACGGGTAACTGTGCAATGCAGCTTTTAAAATGACGTTCAGAACTTGGTTCCATAAGCAGGGTGTTGCTATGGCCCCAGAAGTTACTGCTTTTCAGATGTTTATTGGAGCATGACCAAGAGTGAGGTTCTGCAGAGGCAGTTCTTAAAGAAAACATTTTTGGTTCTTATTAACATTAAAGCAAAAGTCTTGGGAAACTTGCAAAAAAAAAGTTCACTTTAATAGCATTAATTCAAGACATTTAGGCTTAAAGCTGCCAAACCTGAAAATACAGTACTTTCTGCCAGGACCTGAAGAACAGAACTAAATACAATGGCAATATTGGGACACACATTTAATTTCTCTGCATGTAACACAAGTTTGCTTTACAGCTGTCTTTGCCATTAACACAAAGGTCTAGTTTGAAGGTATCAACTTTATCGTCTTCTTGGGGTTTTTTTGTTTTTGTTTTTTAAACATTCCAAATCCAAAGAAAAATTAACATAGTAATTTGATAATATGTTATAAAATGGGGTCTGGACAATATAGAATTTTTCTTTGGGATTTTAACCTTAAAATAAAACAAAATTTATGGTTCCAGAACTGGATTTCTGCTGAAATCTAAAACTTCCAAATCAGAACTCCTCAGAGTTCTTTGAGATTAAGGTCTGTGAACGCTCGCAGTCCCTGCAATAAATTTCATAGTGCAATAATAAAAAATATATACATAGGCACAGGTTATATAATATTTCTCACAGTGTTCACCACGTGCTTCAACGTCAGTATGACAGAAGCTTTTCTTGAGATTGGTTCTTTTTAACAGGCAGAGCTTCAGCTCTCTTTATGTTTACAAAATGATATAGAAGAGGTATTTAACTGATATATTTAAAAAAGCAAAAAGTTAGGACATGAGAATTGCAATATAAGTGAAATTGCTATACCTTTAAGTAGTTAATTTTAATATTATTTTGATTCATATTTTTATATATTTCCTTTGGATTTCAACATACTCAAACCAGGAGAACGAACGTTTCACCAAAACGTCACATGAAAAAACTCACGCCATTAAATGAAAAAATATGTCTGAAATAACAAGCACTTTAAATTCACAATATTTACCATCATTTTTTTGCCAAAAGGAACTTACAAATATATCTGCAGGCTGTTTTCCTCAAAATGGGATATTAACATACGCTGTACTTGTCATCTTTATACTAATAGCACATTTCAGTCTTATACTATTATTACTAAGCAGCATGAGAGATGCTCCAGTCCCTTAATCATCGTCTTAGCACGTTGCTGGACTCGCTCCAGTAGCTCTGTACCTCTCTTATACTGGGGAGTCCAGAACTGAACACAGTACTCCTGGTGCGGCCTCAGCATGGTTGTGTAGAGGAATGGATCACTTCTCTGACCATTGGCCTTCTTGGCCACAGGGGTGCATTGGTAGCTCATGGTAAACTTCTTGTCCTCAAGGAACCCCAGGTCCTTCTCCACGGACTTGCTCTCCAGCAGGTCAGCCCCCAGCCTGCACTGGTGCATAGGGCCATTCCTCCCTAGGTGAGGGACGTTGTCCTTCCCTTTGTTTGAACTCCGTGAGGTTCCTCTCCCCCCATTTATCGATATCGTAACTACTAAACTGAAAGAACCCTAACATGAATAAATATCTTTCAAATACTCTCTGGAAAATTAGTAGTCACTTGTGAATCCCAATTTAATAAAAGCTAAAGCATCACACATTTATGCTAGAATTAATATGCACTGCAGCTTAAATTACAGCATCTCTGCTTTGAAACAAGACTGTTTAATCAGGAAATGACACAAATGCCATTTATTACATATGTTGCATAGAATAAATGAGAAATATGAGATACTTGATATATGTTACATAACGTAACATCTCATATAATGCTACGTAATCCCTAATGCAGCAGTACAGTCCAAAGAGAGGAGGAGTTTCCTAGAATGAATAGCCTCTGTTCTGAAATATAAGCTGCCATAACCTTCATGTTTACCTCCAATAATTGCTTAGAAAATTATTCTAGTCAGAGAGTTTGACTATCCTGAAAGCTGAATGTTTATTAAATTATGTTTTTAAAGTAAATGTGCCATTCTGTGGCCTAATATAACAAGTTAACGTCTGTCAAGGACATCAGAGTCACGTAATGAATCACAGCATACTTTTTATTTTCCTAATTCTTCGTAGTTTTGAACATCAGTAGGATTTTTTCATTCTCTTCCTTTTCAGGCTAGACAGCTTCAACTCTTCTGCAGGTTTTCATTATCTGGAGTCTTGGCAAATCTATAATTAGTTACTCTCACTGTAACTTTCCAACCTGTGCAAAATTCAGCTGTATCTTTTTATGAGAAAAAGATTAAAAAGTAGACATTCTAATGAGCACTTACTATAGCTACTAAGCGTTTCAATCCCTTTTAAGCATACCAAGGCATCTTACAACGTGCACCATGTTAGTTAGCCATCATAAATCATTTTTTTAGAACAATTTTGCTATTAATTTATGAGTGTGCTTATTTATCAGTTAGCTTTGCATGAGACACAGCTTTTTGAAGAAGTTGCATATTCCAGTTCTCTGGAATAAATAAATCAACCAAGTGTGGTGGATTACCAGGGAACAGCACAGAAATCACTCTCTAAACAAGTTTCAAGTATTTTTTAATTCAAATATATTTATTTGCACACTCACACACAAATACGTACACAGACAGCCATAGTTTTTTTGTTTCATTGTTTTTAAGACAATACATCTGTGCTTTTTTGCCCTCTTACGTAGCTATTCAGTTGTCAACGCAGTGCAAGGGACAAGCACTTCCAGAAATAGAAAATCTCATAAAAATCTGATTCCCTGTCTCAGAAATACCGGCATATGCTACAGAAATTATGTTCCTTCTACAGGGTCTCCACAAAGAGGTCAGCTAGTTTAACTTTCTTCTCATCTTTGTTAATTTTATATAAATGGAATACAAATGGAAAGTGTATTCTATTAACAGTGATTACAATTATGAACATCAACCTGCATCCGTGTGGTGAGATGCTATTAAAAATTTACATTTGCAAATTCACCTGTAGCTAACAGGGGGAAATATAAAAGTCTTTTTGGAGAAAGCACTGAAAGACAAGAACTTTTTAGGTTCACATTTCATTTACCACAAGAAGGAAAATAGAATGTAAAAGCCTTTCAAATAAGCTATCTTAAAGTGTTTAGTGCATTCTTCTAGTAAACATAGACATTGTCTTAGGTCAGAAAGACAGTCTTAATGCATACCATTCACAAGGCTGGAGGGACCGAAAAGCTTGCAGAGAGGCATCCATTCCAGCAAAATCCCAAAATTTAACATCATAGTCATAGCCACCGGTTACCAAACGGGCACCTGAAGGATCCAAACCCAAAGCAGAAACCTACACAGGAGGGAGGGAAAAAAAAAAAAAAAAAACAACCTTTTAATTCTTTTTCTTATAGTTCTCCAGATGTCACCAAAATACTACTAAAATCATAAAAATGAATTCAGTTTGTTGATTTGGTCCTTCTGTATGTCAGCTGTGTTTTGTTTCCGAGTTTCCTTCTACAGTGTCCAAATACTTTAGAAGGGGCAGGGAGAAGTGGAAATTACATCATCTGAATACATCACTGAAGACAGTAGAGAAGCTAATTCACACTGTAATTTTACTGGGGGAGGGGGGGTGGAGAAGAAAGTTGATTTTAAAAATTCATGAATGAAAAATATTTTAAATCAAAAAGTTCAAAATGTTACTGAAAAAATATATTTGCATATAAAAAGTTAGTTCCTTAAGGCTACACCAAGCAGTTTGAGGAAGAATGTTTAATGTCTGTTACTCTCATCTGTTACCCCCAAATCATCAAAGGCATAGGTTTATTAAAGCAGAATACTTAGAAAAGTTGTAATTTAAATCTCTATTTAAATAATTCTACTACAGCAGTGTTTAAATCATGCTATTGTAGAAATTACAGTAACAGAGTATCTCATAGACCATCCCTCCTCCCCTTTGCCTTCAAAGATCTCTTCTCTTCACATCCATGAAAATATTATCTACCTGCAATGATTTGAATTATCAATACAAAACTAGCTAGACAATTGCTAACTAATTTGTCATCAAGGAAATAGACTAACTCTCCAGATTTACGTCTTCTACACAGGAGCATTGAAAAGCAATGAAAAAAGCAACGTAAGAAATAAAATAAGAACCTAACCTGGAAACGTTAAAACAATTGAAAGAGTTTTCATGAGAAGACAAAACTCATAAGGAATCCATGCTTATGTTTTAACCTATAGTATATAATTTAACCTCCACTAGGCACTTCAAGTTAGGCAGACCATGGGTAAATCCTAGACTCTAATGAGAGGATGGTTTTAACCTTTGGAACAAAAACCTGGATCATCGCACGTGGATGATCACCAGATTCAGAAACCCTTTCACCACAAGGTAGACACAAGAAAAATAAAGTGGCATGTTCTAGAAAATGCCTGAAAAGGGATTTGAAAAGATTAGCTGGAAAGTCCTCAAGGAAAAAAAAGTTATGCTCCACCAAGAACATTTCGACTTATTCACAATGAATAATTTATTTGCTCTAATTAAATCTTCATGTGCAAGACAGATACTAACTCACATTCTATTTAGGATCGAGGTAATTTGCCAGAGTTTTAACGTAAACTCTGAAGTAGCAAAAAGCCCATCTACCTTCAATAACTCAAAGGAACTTGGACATGAAAGAATTTTCATTTTTTAACTAAGTGTACACTCTTCTAAACAGAACAAGTCTATGCAGTTGAAATTTATTTTCAGAGTTTCTAGAATGACAGAAATTGAAGAATTTTAGCAAGTTCTGCTGATCAGCTCCAGAAAATTCAGTATAATGATAAGGAAATGCATCACAGCAAAAAAGGTCAGTGAACACCAGAGGAAGCACTGACCATGTTACACTCGACTTGTTAAATCTGTACGAGCTATAAGCTTCTGCAGCAAAGTCTCTGCAAACAGGTTATAAATAATAATAATAAAAAAACCCTATGAATTCTCTTTCAGTAGAGAAAAGCCACAGTCAATTTTATTTTATTTTTTTGAAAACTGGAAAAAGTATACCATGGAAAGGGTATGTGTTGAACCAGACATGTTTCTTCTAATAATGATGATGTACGATGTGTTTTCTTGATTTTTCTTTATATGGAGACAGGTACCTGCTACATAAATGCACTTATGGTTGCATCCTGGACGCTACAGACCCCAAATGAATTCAGAATCTTTTAATATGTGCAAAAGCTTTTGTATCTAAAATGGTTCAAATTTACCATTATTCTTTTAGAAAAAAAAAAAATCTAGAGACAGACTCCCCTCCCTCCTGCCAACTGTTCCAATGTTCCAATTAACTTCTCACACAAAGGTATTATTTACTATGGAATGACTCAATGTTTCCAAACACTAGAAGAAATCAGACAGACAAAACCTGCATTTTAGCACTCTCCAGATCAAGAATAAAAAAAAGTTTTTCTGCAATCCATCTATCTGTTATAGTTAGATTCATTTGTCTATAAATTATTTGTGCAGATCCACTAGTTTGAACTAGTGAATAAGCACATTTGAATCTCTCTTTGGAAAGGCATTAGAAGTGGAAACACAAAGGCTGCTTGTCAGGTTAAACAGAGGTGTTTTTAATCTATTGACAGTTTGTCCAAACGGTCCACAGTCCTGAAGAACAAGGTTCTGTTTCTCCTACTACAAATACTACCTTCATAAAAAAAAAAAAAAAATCTTCTTTCAGAATTGATAGATGCCATGGCTATAGGCTAGCATTGCTGAACTTGGAAAAATCAGGCCAAATACTTTCAGGTGCCTAAATCTGTATTATAAATTTCAGATAATCATGTCTGAAAATCAGAATAATTTGCATACAAGGATGGTGCTCTGTATGGACAAAAAATACTGACAGTCACACGATTTAATGCAGACATATAAAAGTACCAACAAAAAACCCTGTCTCAAAGATATATCAGTCTACTACTGTACCTTTTTTAAGCTTTAGTACGCTGTGTTATTGAGACTCCTAAAACTTACGTAAACTGTTGAATAGTTCCCCCACAAAAAGCTGTAAAGAAAATGGAATTTAGCATCAGATATTCCCTTTTCAGCACCCAGTTGAAAAAGTAATTTCCTGAAAATATGTTTCAATAAAAACACCAGTTAAGAATGGAACTTTTTCTGAATGTAAGAGACGGACAATTTGTTGTGCTAAAACTAAGGTTTCCTCCTCGGAAAGACTATGGGCTTCCTTTGAGTTTTCTTTTTTCAGTTTCACACAGGAGAGGTTCATTTAGATACTCCTTATTTTGTCACAAACTGATTTCTAGTCACTTTCTCCTTGAGGCTCACCCCTGCTCCTCGGGCTGGTATCTCACTATAGTTCAGACTTATATAATCCCATGATATAGGCAGCAGTTTGAAGAAAGTACTTTGAGGAAAACCAAGAAACTGCAGAAATGATGCTGACCGTTCACCAAGCAACTAATTCCTTCTTAATCTAATTGTCCTGTTTTGTTTCAGAGCCATTCACTTGCAGAAGGTGCCATCTTTCAGATAACGTGTAAAAAACCCTACTCTTCTAAAGGATGCAAAGGATTATCCGATATGCTAATCCAGAGTTTCCCCCAAATCTAATTTATAGATTTACAAAAAGAATCAATATTTTTTCATTTTACTTCCCTGACTCAAACGTTTAAATATACTGCTGCTTTATACTAGCCCTAAGAATGAATTAAACTTCAGTTACCAATTAAATCACTACGACAAATTTGACTTAGGAGTGAAGCAGAATGCAATCACTTATATGTTTACACAAAAAATCCTCTTTTTTATGTCATTTAAATGCAAATTTCATTCAGGATACCTAACACGCAGAAACGCTGAGCATCTCCAGGTTAATCACGCATTCAGTTAACAGATCTCATCATCCAAGGAGTCAAAAATATGTTCCACAATTCAAAATAATTAGTGAAACAAAGCACTACTTACACTATTCACGTGATCACACAGAAAACAGAAAGCTACTTTCACCAGTGGTTCTGCAAAGAAGTCACATGCGTTATGTGCACAAATTCCACTCTACTTGTTTCTGTTTACAACGCAATACAATGCATCTTTCATGGTTTTTAAAATTAAAAAAGAATATTTTTCTATTTTCACACTACAACGGTTCCCCTTGTAGAATGCTTCTCACATATAAAATACAATTGTTGCTTCTTTCCTCTTCTTTGTCTACATCGTTATGTCCACCACAGCAAAAAAAAAAAAAAAAAAAAAAACACAAACCAACCAAAAAAAAAAAAAAACCACAAACCAAACCAAAACAAACAGGCTGGCTTTATCTCCTCTCCACTCTGCAAGGTACAGCACAATATTTGATCTAAGATTAATGAATAGGTATTTCTGCAAATAACTATTTCTGAAAGCTTATAAAAATATTTATGTTCTTTACTGAGTTTAAACCTCTGGAAATTTCCTTAAAATATGTGCATAAATAATAATAAATAAAACTTGAATTCTTAAATATTCAGATATTAAATTCATAAATCATTTATTTTAGATATTTTAATTTGTTATAGATGTTAATAGTCTATCAACTTAATTACTGCAAAGTGATTTATTACTGAATGTTATATTATTTGAAAGAATGATTATATTAATTGCCTAAAATAAATAGAAAATGAATATACAATTTTTCTTAAAAAGTCAGTAAAGAAAAGTTATACTTTTTTTCCATATTGTTTACAAGTTCATGAAGAATAATTTTTCTCAAAGGCTGATTTTGTTCCGTTTTTTTTTCCTCTCCCAAGGAATTCTCAGGAATGC